AAAACTCTTTACTGTGGGGACGGTGATGCACTGGCACAGGTTGCCCAGAGAAGCTGTGGCTGCTCCATCCCTGGGAGTGTTCAAGACCAGACTGGATGGGGTTCTGAGCAACCTGGTCTAATGGAAGGTGTCCCTGCCCATGGCAGGGGGTGGAACAGGATGAGCATTAAAGTCCCTTCCAATGCAAATCATTCTGTGATTCTATGTTTCTATAAGGACATCTCTTACACAGTCATTACTGTCTTTTACACTAGTAAAATTTTTAGTATGAGGATGAGATACTGTACCTGATAAGGCACCTAAGACAGGACTTTGGCCTAGAGAATCAGGAACTCAAGACACAGATTTTAATATCTGAGTGGTTTTGGGCAAGTCACCTCTGCAGATTGAGAAATAGTGGCACAAAATGGTTAAATGTCACACAAAGGCTGGCTGCTTTCTCAAATGCCCTCGCACTTGCTGCCCAAGAACAATATATAAGAACTTTGCACAAGTGCTGTTTGTTTGGCTCTCTGTTTAATGTAAGGAGGGGGGTAACTCACTGTCAAGTACACATTGTTCTCATAGGTCAGCTCCTCGAGCAGAGGGAACTGTTTCAGAGCAGTTACATCTTCCAGCTTGTTATTGTTGCAGTTCAGGACACGCAGATCAGGGAGGGTTAGGCTGTTGGGAAATTTGTCCAGCAAATTATCAGAGAGATCAAGTTTCTGCAGGTGCCTCAGGCGGGAAAACAAGCGTGGGTCTAAGTCTCCAGTCTTCAGTTGCAGCTTGGACAGGCTGAAAACAAAACAAAAAAACACCCATGAACTATCTGCAGCTCACTGGAGGGACAAATTTCATAGCATGGACAGTTCCACCTGCTGGCATCTCAGTCCAGCACAACCCACTGGGTACAACTGACCAATCCTGGTTTTTCTGCTGTGTTTTTTTTAGGGTTAACTCAACTATCTCTTGAATTATCACTTCCTCACAATGGAAGCACCATTTTGTTAGCTTTTCTAGTTTTTATAAAGATGAAATAACTAAAAAGTCTTTAAAAAAATTTATTATTAATCTCAACAAATAGTAAAACACAAGAGATGTAAAACTCAACACCATTCTATCAAAAGCTAACTTATTTCTTAGTTACAATACTTTATAAATGTTTTTCAACTCTCTATCAACTTTTAAGAATTCTTTTCAAATCCATTTCCTACACTGGTGGCAGCATTCTGGATTGTGAGCACAGTGTGGGACAGCTGATGTGTCTGAGCTAACAGCCACCATCAGAGACTCAGGTCTGCCAAAGTACAATTAACCTGCAATTCAGATCATCTCCTAGGGGTTACTGAGCTGTCTGGGAGCACCAAATCACCAGAAAAGGTCTTATTTTACAGAAAAAATTACCACACCTTTCAAAGGTTTGGTATTTTATTCCTGTGCAATGTTGATCCAACAAGACAAGCTGTGGCAATTCAAGACACTACAGCCTCAGTGTACCGTGTCCATAGAATGCACTACAGTCGTTATTTCACAGTTCATGCCCAGTGCAGAATGTGTCCCCAAATAGTCTGGCTGTTTTCAAAGAACTAACTTGACAAGAAAAGCATTTTTTCCATTTCTTTTATAGTGAGTTTTGCTGCAAAAGCTTCCAACGGTAAATGTAGAAATTCACCTAACAAAAATCCCAAGACTGCCACCAAAACAGAACTTTGTCCTGAAAAAGGAAGTGGTACAATATTGGTGAGGGGAAAAGAAATATCCCTTCTCTGTAAGAAAGTGAAAACTGCACAATATAAGCAGGGTCATTTAGATTTGGTTAGATCATTTAGGTGAGCTCCAAAGGCAGCTTCCACTCCTGGCAGCCAACATCTCTTGAGGGCACAAGCTTGGGCTCCTTTAACAAACAGAATCTCTTTCTCTAAAGACCAGTCAAAAAAATAGGCTTCTAGATTTTAATGAAGTGTGAATAAATGAGACAAATAAATCCAGAAAGCAAGATCCTTTCTCCTTCACTTGCCATCTCAGAAGTGCAAGCAGCCAGTCAGAGCTGGTAAGACAGGCTGAGGACAATCCAGCTGGCTGCAGAGCTGTGACTGTGGTGTCCTTTTGGGGAAAAACTCAGTGGTGCTCCCCAAACAGACTTGCTGAAACACATCACAGTACAAAGCTGCATGGACAAAGCCACACTCCAAAAATCCACAGCTTCAAACATCTCCCCACCACTCTGCTACCCAGATTACTGCAGCTGATAGTCAGAGAAACATGTGAGTTTCTCACTAAAAATAATTACTTTAGCACAAGGCAAACTGAAAGAAATAACTTTAAGGAGTACATGTGAAACCCAAACCCCTGACATCAGCAACAAAAACAACAAAGGTGCCAGACAGGAAGTGGCCAGCTGAACCCCTTGGACTGGCCAGCTCTGTGTTAAACATTTGGAAGGACACATATTTGCAATGACCTCTGGTAAGGACCTGAGTGACAAAACTGTTTTTAGGTGATTCAGAGTTTATTCTCTCCCTCTGCAATGTTTGAGGTAGTAGGATTACTGAATATAGAAGAGATGGAACATGATGAAGGGAGAGGAAAATGAAAGGGAAATAATGCCAAAAACACTTAAAAAACCCTCTGAAACCCATGCTGGAAGATTCTCTTATTCACATTAAGCAATTGCCAGCAAAGATGCAAGGGCTTTGGGGGTAGAGATGATACCTTGGGGTTAGGAAATCAGGATCCAGCCTTGAGCAGTTTCACAGAAAAATGGCAGCAAATATACAATAGAAATGGCAAGAAAAGATGACATCTGCCAACATCTTTAGTGAATGCAGTGCCACCACTGCTCACTGATCCTGCACTGGGAATGCCCTCTCAGCTCTGTGCTTTGATACTCTTTTCTTTTAAGTAAAAAAAAAAAAAAATGTTTATGGGAAGAAAGACACACAGATAAAAAGGCATTGCCAGGTTGAATTCATCTGGAATTTTCCATGGGCCTGTCTGCACTTACTTGAGCGTCTCGATCTTTCGGAGCCTCGTAGATCTCGGAACTGCTCTTTCCAAAAGAAGTTCTGTGGTAATTTTTGACATTTTTAACCTCCACCTCTCTGCTGGAACCACTAATCAGTCAGCTTGTAGGATGTCTTCTGGTTATCTTGATTAAAAAAAAATAGGAATAAGAGGAAATCTTTCAACAGCTCCAAGGGAAGGAAAAAAATTTTTTTTGAGGTTATCTGCTGGTTTTGCTGCTGTGTTGGAAGTCACCTTTTCTATTTGGTTGAAATGAACATGGCAGAGACTATTATTAGATTGGGCACAGGCTCCCAGCACGCTGATCCAATCCATCTCCAAAACAACAGGGATACATCCCGTGGCTGTTGGAGTGACAGACCTGCTGCAGGTGAAAGCTGCCCGTGAGTGATGGCACTCAGGACCAGGACAGCATCACAGGTACCTGTTTGTGCCTCTCCTGGGCTCTGCTCCAGGAATTCCAACATTCTTTCAAACAAAAAGCAGCAGTAAGAGTTAATGCACCTGCTGCGAATGGTTTTCTCCCGAGAAAGTGACACTGAGCTCACTGGCCTGGCCAACTGGACAGACTCTTGCCTGATGACTCCCGAATTCCCAAAAATTTTGGAAAACTGAAATAACCAGCAGAAATTCAAGCACACCAATCAAGGACATAATTTAGTCATCAAGGAAGGAAAAAAACAATCAACAGAGTTCTCTGTCTTGTTGGTGATTAACTGACGTTTCAGTACTCACCAACTGTGTGTGTGAGTAGACACACACACAGAGGGATATGTTGATATTCGGAATAACAGTGCTGACAGGGCCAAAAGAGCCCTATGAAATGACTGGTCCAGGGCTTCCCACTTTTCCTGACACAGGTTCCAAGAGAGGGAAATAAAAGAGAACAGAGCTCCAAGGCCAGGCTCGCTCCTGTCTTTCTGTGTTAGATCACTGCTGCCTAAATGCCACTCCAGAACATCGTGAGGGGCACGCGGGGCACTGAGCCGTCCTTGGGTTTGGTTTCAGCAGCACCACACTCCTACAGCACCTGCAACGTTGTGTGATGAGCAAGGGGCACAATATTGTACACACTGAAATATTGTATACAAGCACAAAGAGCTGAACTGAAACCCAGTTCAAACAGCAGCTGCTCGATCCTTCAAGCGACAGAGCTCTCCCTGAGAGTCAAAGCACAGGGTCAGGCTTGTCCAACCAAACCTCCCTCAGCTCCTGTGCCTACAATAAAAATGTGACCCCAGCGGCTGGACGTTCCCATGGCGCTCTCTTTGGCACACTGACACAGCTGTGACAGGGCAGGAGCTGCAGGGAAGGCCAGGCACGGCATGTCCCATCCCACAGCAGCGGGCGATGCTGCACAGGGTACGCTCGGTTACCGCGGGGCTGCCGAACGCCGCGGTTATTGCACCGGGAACAGGCCCGTCCTGCCCCACCGCAGCCCTGGGGATGGAGCCCCACGGCCGGGCATCCCTCTGACCTGACCGTGTTCGCCTGGAGCTGCCCTGCACCGCCCGGCACGGCCCGCGATGCCGCGGCGGTGACAAGGCCACGGATGCCGGCCTGTCCCCACACGCCGGGCGGTCTCCGGGCGCGGGGTATCACCGGCTGCGGGCGCAGGCCGCGGCTCCGCCCGTGGGCAGGGCCGGACCGGGCCGGGCGGGGCAGGTGCGGCCCCGGCCGAGGCCTCGCCCGTCACCGCCGCCTCCGGACACCGAGCACCGCGAGGGGCCGGCGCCGGCCGCGGCCTGAGGCGCCCCCGCGGGGCTTACGCCGCGCCTACAACTCCCAGCGACCCCCGCGGCGCCGAACAGCGGCGCGGAGCCCTGGCACGCCGCGGGGGCTGCTGGGAGCGCGAGTCCGCCCGCACCCCCCCCTTCCACCCCCTCTGCTCGACCGCGCGGCCTGCGCCCAGCCCCGCCGCCCTCACCTGGAAGCGGCCGGGGAGGAGGAAGAGGAGCCGGGGAGGAAGGAAGGGCGGGAGGAGGAGCGGGCGGGGGGGCTGCGTCCGCGGCGCAGGCGGCGGGATGCAGGCGGCGGGCGGCGGCGGAGGGCCGGGCTGCGGCTGCAAGGGGATCCGCTCCTGCCTGCTCTGCGAGGGGCCCGCGCCGGCCGCTCCGCCCCCGCAGGTACGCGGGGCGGCTGCGGGACCCCGTGCCCGGAGCGGGGCCGGGGCCGCGGGGTCACAGCACGGGGACACGGCAGAGCCCCTCGGGATTGTGGATTGTTCGCCTCAAAAACGCTCAGGAGGCGAGTGGGAGCTCACCTGAGCCTCGCGTGTTACGTTCACATTCGTTTGTTACAGCTCAGCCTCGTGGCCTGTGCGATTTTCATCAACTTTCCTCGTTCAACATTTATTGCTATGGCAAACCATATCTCTGCAGCAATACCCACCATGAATCTCCTTACACCTGTGGCCCTGAGGATCATCGGTTCTTCCCTGCCTTTCCAGGATAAAGACATCACTAGGAAAAAAACAAAAGTGGCTTCAAGCAAGCAGCACGTTGATGCTGCAGCTGGAAAAAAAGAACAGGGAATAGTTGTTCCCCAAAAGCAGCTGTAAAATGTCTCTTGTCTGCAAGAATACTGTACAGTTTTCATGCTGCAATAGCAAGGTTGTAGGGGTAAATAATGGAAATATCTTATTGCTTTTTTTTTCCTTTTCCGTTTGTATTTCCACAGGGAGAAGATAATTTCACTTACTGTCCAGCAACAGGCCTGGCTAAAGGAAATGAGCACTCGGAATTTGCTGGCTGGGCATTTCCCTTTCCAGGGGTGTTCCTGGTGGAGGAGTTCATTAGTGAAGATGAAGAGTGTGAGATAGTGGAACTGATGGATCGAGATGACTGGAAACCATCACAGTCTGGCCGAAAGAAACAGGTTGGACTTTGGAAGCACATCTGATCTTAGATCCCTCTGGAAAAGGAAAACTGTTTTCAGTTAAAACCCAAAATACTGAGATGTTTCATTAAGTGTTTTCCTTTGAAAGCTTTTCCTGAAACCAATGGCAAGAGTTATCTGTCATTAAAATCAACTTCTTGAAAAAATACGTGATAGTTACAACAATCAGTATTTGATGGTGTGTGCTCAAGCATTAAAGTTCACACAATCTCCAAGGGAAAGAAATGGGTTTTCAGATTTGGTTTTACTTTATAAATCCAGAGAGATTAATGTAGATTTACTGAGTCCTTTTGCAACCTGGCAACCAGGTCACTGGAAGAGATGAGAACAGAACGCTGCAGGAACAGCCTCTCCAAAAAGACTTGTCCTAGATTTTTCCTTTACACTAGCTTTCCCCTCCCTCTTCTTTTCCAACAGGACTACGGACCCAAAGTGAACTTCAAGAAACAAAGGCTGAAAGCTGGCAGCTTTAGTGGCTTGCCAAGCTTCAGCAGGAAGATTGTGGCCCAGATGAAGGCCTGTGCTGTGCTCAGTGGCTTCTTACCTGTGGAGCAGTGTAACCTGGACTACAGACCGGAGAGAGGCTCTGCCATCGACCCCCACTTTGATGACTGCTGGCTCTGGGGGGAGCGCCTGGTCAGCCTGAACCTGCTCTCAAAAACTGTGCTCTCCATGTCCTGCGATCCAGAGGACACCATCCAATTATTTCCCATTTCCAGCAAGGAGGAGTTAAGCCCCCCTGCACCTTTCACGCAGACATCAGCGTGCAGAAGTGCAGGAGAAGAGGGCACCGAGTGCTTTCTGTGGCCGAGGCTGGCTCGGGGGAAGGCGGTGAGCGTGGCCGTGCCGCTGCCCCAGAGGTCGCTGGTGGTGCTGCACGGGGATGCCCGCTACAAGTGGAAGCACGGCATCCGCCGCAGGCACATCGAGCACCGCCGCGTCTGCATCACCTTCAGGGAGCTCTCCGCCGAGTTCAGCGCCGGGGGGAGGCACGAGGAGCTGGGCAAAGAACTGCTGCAAATCGCTCTTTCCTTTCAAGGGAGACCCGTGTGACCAAGAGGTTGCATTTTGTTGGGAGAGGTGTAAAATGAGGTACGGAATTTGTATGACGAGGTTTATTTCTGAGGTGGGGTAAGGAACCGGGTGTGTGCAGAGATAAGCTCAATAAAATGAAGATTTAACAAACAAGTAACAGGGGTGAGCTTCGAAATCTCCTGGGCAACGGGAGCTTTTAAGCCAAAGTCAGAAATGAGAGGTTGCATCCATTACCTGTGTTGTAACAAAAAAAGCAAACAACCAGTTCTGAAATGCTTAAATGAACCCAAGAAAGTGAGAAACATTAAATAGAGTATCAAACAGCCATTGACACAGTTTCAGCCCAAACCCTGGCACGAATTTTAAGCTTTCCTGGACCATACTTGATACTGTCAGACTGGTTTGAATGTTGCATCCAGCCCTGGGGGTACAAATATCCCCTCAGACAGGTCCTGTGGAGACCAGGTCTCAGGGGAGGAAGGTAAGCAGGTATCTCTCCACAGACAGCAGAAAACACTGAGAACTAATTACAGTAATTATCCTTTGCTGAAGATTCATGCTCTAACAATGAGGATTAATCATAAATTCCATGTGTGACCTGTATCTTCTGGGACCAAAGAGCAGCATTTGCAGAGGGCCAGTGCTGACTCTTTGGGCTTGGACAGAGATCAGACCAAAGGCCTGCACAGACTGTTATTTTCTGATCGTTTGTCATCTCTGAACCCTGCTGTCAGCTCTCAGTAGCAAGAGTCTGATTTTGGGAATTAGCTGGGCAACAGACTGCAACCCTGGCAGCTATCATTTATTTTCCTGGCACCCCCAGCAGTCAGGTTTGAATCATGCCTCGTACCTAAGATTCAAGTAGTCATTTGCAGCAGAAGCTGATCTGAGGCCATCTGTCTGCTCTGAACAAACTTCTGCCCTCTGAAAATGAAGTTGTGCCGTGGAAGAAGCGTGATCCTTTAATAAACACGGCGCTGCCATGGCAGCCCTTCAGCACAGTCTCACCTGCAGCAGGAAAGCAAAAACACCACCTTGCCACCAGCAGGCAGTGCTGCCTGGCTTTGGGTGGCAAGGAGAGGGGACAGACAGACCTCAGCGTCCCTGCACTGCTGTGCTCTGCCCCAGAAGTGCTTCCTTGGCACTGCACAGGATTCCCTGCACAGTAAAGCACTCCTGCCACAGGCACTGCCCTCTCTTTTCTGCAGGGGAGGGAGCTCTTCACACAGGACAGCTACCAGGAATCAGATGGGTCAATCAGGATGTTTTTCATCAGTTTAAACCAACAGATACAAGAAGAGCCCTCTGTGGGCTGCAACGAGCCAGGTTCAGTTTAGTGCTAATTCCAGCAGGGACCTACTAGCAGGGCTCCCATGGGCAGTTCCAGACTCCAAACCTCCACCCAGGTGGGCTGGTGAGTGTCCTCAAGGAGCTCCAGCAGCAGTTCCAGCAGTCACAGCACATCCCCTCTGATGGAACCTCTTCACTGCAAACACAGACACACAACAGGCCGGCTCACAGTGAGCTCTGTCCCAGGAAATTCCTCCTAGGCTGCAACTGGAAGAGGGTAGATCTAGATTAGGTATTTGGAAAAAATTCTTCTCTGTGAGGGTGGGGAGGCCCTGGCACAGATTACCCAGAGAAGCTGTTGCTGCCTCTGGATCCCCGGGAGTGTCCAAGGCCAGGTTGGAGCAACCTGGTCTAGTGGAAGGTGTCCCTGCCCATGGGAGGGGGTGGGAACTGCATGATCATTAAAGTCCCTTCCAACCCAACCCAATCTGTCATGTCCAGCTCTCTCCCAAAAGCAGGGAATGTGCTGAGAGCAGCAGTTCCTCACTGTTTCCGCAGCCTGGCATCCACAGGGCTCAGCAGCTCTGGGAGTGGAATATTCCCAGGACAGCACCTGGAGCTGGGAAGCAGAGGGGCTTTGTCCAAGCAGGAGGAGGAGCCTGCCAGCCTGGCACAGACACACAGGGAGGAAACCCAGCACAGGCTGTCACAGACAGAGCAAACACTGCACCTGGATCCTCCTCACCCTGCAGTTCCAAGCCTCTCCACGGATCTGCTCTCTGCTCAGCACACTGCAGCAGTCAAGTGTTGCCATTAATGCTTGGCCCGAATTTCCAATGCTCCAATTTTACGTTTACATTGTGCTCTCAGGCTGCTAAAACACTTTCTGTGTGCATCCCTGCCGCTCCATTCTCTCCACAGTGAAAGCAGATGATGAATTCTGATGAATCAGATTGCCACAACAACTTACACAGTGTTAGTTCATCTTGTGCTCTGCATTTGCTGGCTGAATTTTTCTGCCTTGATTGAACTATACAGGAAGCTGCTGTTCTTGCCAGAAGATTCCAGCTCTTCCTAGCTGATATCTTAAATGTGAAAAAATGCAAATAATTAAATACTGAGCCAAAAAGTGAGGGCTTTTTCTTGGTGTTTTTGAATTCCAAAACTTAATCTAGTCACTACAGAGGCATTGCTGTGCCAGTCTTTTGACATTTTTCACCTGTTATACAGCCTCTTGGGCATCATCCTCAGATCAAAATGCACACCCATCTGTTCAGTACTACTCCTTAATACTTCATGTACATGTTCTCCTAAAAAGCCAGAAAACCAAAAAAAAAAAAAAAATCCCCAACCAACCAACCAAAAAAAAACAAAAACAAAAAAGCCAGAAAATCCTGTTTTGCAGTGTTACAAAACATTAACAATTTACTGTCAAGTACCATAGAAATCTGAGAAAGGTATGAAGATCTTAATGAGCTCTTAAAAGTAATTTTGTCCAATAAGCTGGTATTATTAACGAGACAAACTTTAATGGTCTTCCTGTTAGAGGAGTTCCTTGTCTCCTCAAACTCCTTGTAAAACGCGTGCCAAGACCCAGACCCTCATTAAAAGGAAGTACATCTAATTGTTATCTCCTTGTGCACTGCAAAAGGAGAACGATAATATCTGACCAAACTTTTTTCAAAAAGGCAGAACTCAAGTTAACCCATAAGAAGATGCTGCAGGACTTGAGCTGCCTTTCAAGAAATCAGTCTGAAATCACCAAGAAGCATAAAACTGAGCAAGTTTATCCAGTTTCTCTCACACAGCTGGACAATAACTGAGATACATTCGTTGTTCTACATTAAATATTGTTCATGCAGAGGTAAAACAAGAATAGGCAAAGCTAAAATACAGATTTTTTTTTTTTTTCTCTTAGCACTCATGGCTGTCACGCCTCTGGGCAGAAAGCAAGCTCCTAGCTGGACACACAGGGATTCAGGGAAATACTATGCAAATCCAGCCAGACAATTTTAATTACTAAAACTGCTTTGAAATGGCTGTAGGGGAGAGAACCTATGAGTTAACCACATAATATCCCCCCTGGCCCAGTTGAATTTGATTGCAGCTTGAGGGGGTGTTGAGGAAGCTGCCTTAGCAGTTGATGCAATGAGATTTAAAAGATAAGGGATCTACAGCAGCAGGGAAACTCCAAGGCCTTTTATTTGCTTGTTAGAAAGCAGGAAGGGAAAAGAAAGCACATTGTGAAAGGCAGGAGGAGCACCTCCACCCCCAGCCCAGCACAGGTAACCTCGAGGCAACCTGGGACTGCCCATCCCCACATCCCAGAGCCAGGGAACAAAAGGATGTGGAAAGGAAGGATGTGGAAGGGTGTGGAGGGATGTGGAAGAGAAGGATGTGGAGGGCTGGGGAAAGGAAAAGAAGGATGGGGAACCATGTGGAGGGATGGGAAGGGATGTTCTCTCTGCAGCTGCACCCACCCCGGTGCTCCCCAAACACTTCCAGGTGCGGGAGCGCTTAGGGCAGCCCTCCCTCCGCCCGGGGCTCTCGCTCGGTGTCGCTTTCATCCATCACATGCTCAAACCCAACACGACTCCACCTCTCAAAGGGGTCACAAAGTCTCCCCGAGAGTCTCCTCTCCGCTGCAGCAGGGAGCCAGCCCGGCCCCGGGGCGATGTTAAAAATAGGAGATCACAGTGAGAGCTGCCACTGAATACTGCAAAGGGAGAACCCGATCCTGCTCCCTCCAGCTCGGTCGTGCCCCTTCTTTACTCCTGCCAAGATGGAAAGGGAGAGGAACTGCCTCCTAACCGAGGCTGGAGCACGGGAATGACACAAAGAATTGTTGTTCTCCTGTCCTTGAGAGTTCCTTCCCTGCTTCAGGGTGGGCAGGCAGGGTCCCTGCAGTGCTAGAGCCGGCAGAGGCATTTTCCTGCTGGGCAAAAACTGGCCAAAAAAATAATCTGAAGCAAGATCATGGCTGTCCCTGTGCTAAGCTCCAGTGCAAAAATTGGAGAAATAGCTCAGACAAGGCAATAGCTGGTCCAGAGAGCCACAGCCCAAGGGGGCTGAGAATTAGGGCAGCAGCCACCCCAGAGTGCAGCAGCCCAGAGCCCAAAGCTGAAAACCAACACACACCACAGGAGATCCCCAACACTCATCCCCAGCTGAGGGTGGAACCCTTGGGAGAACCATCTCCATGCAAGCATTGCAGGATTGCAGCCACACAAAACCTGGGACACTCCAAGAATGACAGACACCCCAGGAACGACAGAGAGGTGACAGCACAGGACAGACATGGCCAGGCACGGCCAGACAAACCCAGAGGTGCCACAGAGAGCTGGCAGCCCTGTTGGGACAGCAGTGACAGTGTGGAAAGGCTGGCTTGACTGATGGGAATCCTGCTGGCAGCCACGGGGGCAGCAGCAGGAGCAAGGAGCACTTTCTGGTGCTGCAGCACAGAAACAGAAACGCCCAGCTGGACAAGTACAACATCCCCACTCCCTCCTTTATGGATGAACTCCCGTGCCTGGAACAACAGGTAACATTTCTGTGACACAAGCCTGGACCCAACAGTAGTGAAAATGTAAATAAATTGCAGGAAAAGAGGCAGGAGAAGAAAAGCAAGTATTGTTGTTGGGAAGGGAGAGGAGTTACAGCATGAAGGTGAATGGGTAACCTAGAGAATCAAAGAACAAAAATACCGCCATGAGCTTCTCATGGAAGGGAGAACTCAGTGCCCAGAGAGACACAAGAAACAGAGCTGCAAGCAAACACAGGGAAGCAAGTTATTACTCTGTTTTAGGAGCATTTGCCCTTGGGACACCATCCCAAACTGTACCTCAGACTCACCCCTGGAGTGAGGTG